ATTAATTCATTAAAAATCAGAACGTTAGCATCTCATATTAAGTCTCCTCATTCAGAACACACTACATGTCTTTTCATTTATACACATGTTTTATTTTATGTCCTTCAGTAAATTTTCATAGTTCTTTTCATGGAGAAATTGTACATTTCTGGCTGAACATATTTTTCAATACTATATATTTATTTCTCTGCTTGTGTGAATTGTATTTTTCCATTTTAACTGCTAATTATTGTGGTTTTACCTTCTTCAGAGATAATTTTTGGGATAGGACTCACAAATTTAACATAGTACATATAGTTGGTAGCTAAACTATTGAATTTCTTGACAATAATTAGGTAGAAATAATTTTATGAAGAGAGTCCAAACCAAACTCATTGCCGTGGAGTCGATTCTACTCATAGCAACCCCATCTTGGGTTTCAGAGGCCATATCTCTATGGAAGTAGATTGCCCAATGTTCCTTCAGAGGAGTGGCTTTTGGGTTTGAACCAGCCTTCTGGTTAGCAGATAAAACACCTTAGGCACTATACCTCCAGAGCTCCTATGAAGATAGTAATACCCTTTAAAAATAATTTATGCATTATCTAGAACTATTCTAAGACATTGTTGAACACTATCTTTTATTGTGGGCATCTGTGTTTTGTTCTAATGTTTTGTAGCAAAAATTTTGATGTTTTATTGGAGAATCTAATGCTTGTTTTGGTTTCTTTATTCTTTATTACACTGAAGATTTTCTCCTTTACTTACTATTTCTATTTTTCTTGTAATTTAAATCATGAATTTCTGTTTGATTTATCAAATGTTTTATGACCATCTACTATAGTCTCTTATTTATTTATCTTTTTTGGGTTATTAACAACTACATCAAGGAAGAAAGTTTCTGAACAAAATAACATATTAACTTAATGTAATTCACTAAGAATTCCAATCATCATTAACTCAAGAAAATGACATGTCAAATTTTCATGGAAAAGAAATATAAAAGAATAAATAAGAAAATTATAAAATAGAATAAGAATGGGAAGATTTGTGGTATCACATATTGCAATCTGTTTTAACAGTATGATACCAGCAGAGAAATAATCATTTAGTTAAGTGAATTAGTTAAAATCACAAACCTCAACAAAGTATGGGTTTCTAAAACACAGTAAAGGTGTCATTTTCTATAATGAGAAGTAATAGGGTTTACAATAGATGTTGTTAGGTAAATGATGATCTAGTTACTGGAAAAAAAAAAAAAAAAGAATTATTCTCCCTACCTCACACCTTACTAAAATAATTCCCAGGTAAATTAAAATCTTAAATATACCACGATAAAATTTTCACAATAAATTACTATGACAGTATCAGAATTAAATACAAGATGGCATTTTCAAACTTAAGTTTGAAGAAATTGTCCTATGTTAATTTAAAGCAAGATTTTAAAATAAAAAATAAAGACTACAGGGGAAAATATTTACAACAAATTAACATATCATATAAGCATAACATTGACATGAAATTAGCATAACAGAAGCTGATAGCAGTAATATACAAGAAACTCATAAAAAATGAAAAAAGAACAATTCAAAGTGTAGAAACAGGAAGAAAAGTCATGGTAAAAGAATTAGATAAAAGCAACAACAACCAATAAAGATACAACAATGTAGAGACTTGGAAATTAAAAACACTAGTAACATACTTAACAGAATGAAAAAAGTACAAAAAGTTGACACTTATTTCAGTGAATGTTTGTACTATTTTGAGAATATGTAGAACTAAGTAAATCTTCAAATAATTGACGCTAAAACATAAGATATTTTATAGCTAAAAAATGCACAATATTATGAACTTCTTAAAATTGTTAAACATGTATTCTCTTTTGGGTCAACAACCCTACCTAAACACCTTCCTCGATGTGATCTTCAAATCCTGTGCTGTGAATGCAATTCCTTGCAGCACCTTGAGGGGAGGAATTAGCAACACTTCCTGTAGAAAAGGTGACACATAGGCTTGGCTTTGTTGAAATTATTGATCTCTGCAGGTAAATGTAAGAAGGAATGACTTTAGACTTGCAGAACAATATGAAAAAAATAGAAAATTATAAAGGATGTGGTACATTCAAGAAAGGGCAAGGAGTCTGTTCTGCATTGCTACACAAGTAGAGTGAATAATTGTGTAAAATGGCATAACTGCCTGGATACTTAAGGGGAATAATTTTATATTTTATTTTTGGTAGTTTGTAATTTGTCTTATAGGAAATAGAAATGTATCAAATGTGCATCTGCATACAAAAGTTTCATAGATCTTATACAGTTAAGAGGCACTCTGATGGTGCAGTGGTTAAAGCATAAGGCTGCTAACCAAAAGGTTAACAATTCCAAGCCACCAGCCTCTTCACAATAGAAAGATGAAGCACTCTCCTTCTGCAAAGATTTACAGCCTTGGAAACCCTCTGGGGTCGCTATGATTCCGAATTGACTTGGTGGCAGTGGGTTTTGGGTGTACAGTTAAGAGAAATAGTCAAATCTTTATTATAGAAATGAAAATATAGCAGTACTGAGGAGGATAGGAGCTCTGGTGGCACTGTGCTTAAAGCATTGGGTCGCTAACCAAAAGATCTGCAGTTTGAGCTCATCAACTTCGCACAGAGGAAAGATGAGGCAGTCTGCTTTTGTAAAGATTTTCAGCCTTAGAAATCTTGTGGGGCTTCTACTCTGTCCTGTGCGGTTGCTAAGGGTCACAGTTGACTCGATGGCAGTGGGTGTTGAGGAGGATGGGACAGAGAGAGTAATTGGAGTGTAAGAATATAGGTACCTTGCTGTTTCTAGTTCTGGACAAAGATGACAATAAAGCACTGGCAGTGGAAAGAAAGGAGGGAAACAAAAATGTTTCAGAGGAGGAATAGCCAGGTCTTGAGTGACTAGGCATGCTTGGGAGTCAGGAGGGGTATTTAGGAGTGTTTAATTAGAAATTAAATAAAAGAGGTTAGGTTTAAAAATTTCATTGGAAATCAAGTGTCAGACACCATAATTGATGATGTAGATTTGAGTCATCAACATTGAAATGACCATTGAAGTCATAGTAGTGAATTAGAATAAATTAGATTAGCTATTCGGAGAGACCATTGAAAAGAGAAAATAGGCCATTATATCAATCCATATTTACAGGTCCAATAAAAAAAATGGAACTAAGGCAAAGATTATTGCGTCAAAGTATTTAACACATACAGGTAAAAAATTAGATTTCAGTATTGTGTAAAAGAAAGCAGATAATTTCAAGCTAAACTTATCAATAATGTCAATTGCTGCTGCAAAATAAAAAATAATGATGCAATATTAGATTTATCAATTGTTGTTGTTGTTTGCCGTTGAGTCGGCCTCGACTCATAGTGACCCCTCCTTGGGTTTCTGAGGCAGTATCACTACGGAAGTAGGATTGCCCAACCTTCTTTCCGAGGAGTGGCTGGTGGGTTTGAACCGCCAGCCTTCTGGTGAGCAGTCAAGTGCCTTAGGCACTATGCTACCAGAGCTCCTAGATTTATCAATTAGGAGGGCGTTTATGGTCATTGCAAAAACAATTTCAGTACTAAAGTGAGATCAACAGTGATACTTACAAGAGGGAATGGGGTAGAAGAAAATGGAATAGTGACTAGAGAAGATCTCAAAGCAGTTAGGCAGCAAATAGAAAAAGCGACTAAATGGTGGAAATAACGTTAAAGGAAGAAAAATACCATGTATTATGTTCTCCTCATTACAACACTAACATCGTTTAGTATCAGAGGTAAACAAGAGAAAGTTAAAGATAATCATTAAAACATAACTAGGCATAAACTTAGGAGCTCTGGTAGCATAGTGGCTAAAGCACTTGACTGCTAACCAGAAGGCTGGTGGTTCAAACCCATCAGCCACTCCTCGGAAGGAAGGTTGGGCAATCCTACTTCCGTAGTGATACTACTTCGGAAACCCAAGGAGGGGTCGCTATGAGTTGCAGCCAACTCGACGGCACATAACAACAACAACAACAAAGGCATAAACTTAAAGTTCAAAGAGTGATTATCTGGAATAGATTTATGCTAACATAAAAGCTAAAGGGAAACAACTAGTAGTTTTTTTTTTTTTTTAAAGTTTCATTTAACTCACTAGAGAGACATACTTTCTTACGTTCAATGGCAAGAGGACAAGATTTGTTGCAATGAGAAGACCTGAACTCAAATCCTGTTTATTCACTGAGTAACCTCAGGCAAGTCAAGCAAACTTTTAGGACATCCAGAAACTGACCTGTAAAGTGGTGATGACAAAAATGACATGAAGACTTAAGTGCAAAGGAAAATGTGTATTTAACTGAACAGCACTAAAAAGTAAAATGGATTATTATTTATGGATTAGAAAAGGATAAGATGGGTAGGATTTTAATGGAATGGGATAAAGAAATAGAAGTCAAAAGTAATGAGATCAAGAAAGCTTGTATAGTCAAACTCTCACTTTTAGGGGAACTTATTAAAATAATTCCAATTCTCTTTATACTCTGAATTGTTAAATTCACAGTTATAAAATCAGAAAGAGTATTTTGATATATTGTCTCAACTACGTGATTATGAATCTTTGGGTATTTAATAAACAAAAATGAAATTAGTTTTTAGATTGCTTAATCAATCCAAGTCTTTGCTTTTTTCTTTTTGTAGGTTTTTATTAATAGAATATTGGATAAATACACCTCTCTCTAATTAAAGTAGCCTATTTATAGTCAGAGGATAATTTATCATGCCTCCAACTTATTTATAACTAGTTTTCAATTAATAGTGAAAGTACTGAGTTAGTAAACTACAGGGTATTAAAAAAAAAAAAAAAAAAAAAAACTCTGATTTTGATAAGTGACGTTAGAATACCATAATAAACACAGTATTTCTGTGTGGTTATAATTGTGCAGTTTTATATTTAAAGCCTTTTTAAAAATATTTTATTACCATAGTTTTGCATATGTAATATATGACCATCTTTTAAGATGCAATTTCTCTTTCAGTGAAGACTTGTGGCTCTAATCTTCAAGGACCAAGTGGTACCTTTACGTCTCCCAATTTCCCATTCCAGTATGACAGCAATGCACAATGCGTCTGGGTCATCACAGCAGTGAATACAAATAAGGTAAGGGAAACACCAGCCACAGCAGAACAGTCTAATCACAATGACAATGGTACGGAGGTCCTGAGAAAAGTGCACTAAAGAAAACTCATAACTAAAGTGTGATTTCGGCAATGTTTTCCTACATATCTATTTATAAGAAACTGGGGAAATAAACACAAATAATACAATTCTAGTCCTAGTTACTAACACATTATTGAAAACATGTTAAAATTTTAAATGGATATTTTCTGAGATTCATTTATATTTATATTCATTTTTGAAGGTTGTATTTCTTTTTCTTAAAAGGAATCTGGGATAATTTCTTTTTACTGGATATCTTTTCTACTTAACACATGGTCCAAGTATATCATGTTTATATACACAGATGATTTTTTTTTCAGTGTTTCCTCATTGCTATAGGTCAACCAGCTATTCTTTATTGTAAATAGCAGTTTAATGTGTTCTGTACTAATTGATGATTCATATTATAGCTATTTCAAAAGGTTAGATTATCTTTGTATTTGATTTTAACATAAGTGATTTATCTAAATATGAATTTACCACTAGACTTTAAACAAAATTGTAGCACAGAATGAGTTAAGAGGAGCTGAAAATCAACTAGTTTTCCTCTCCTGCTGGTTCTATCTTGCTTTTCTTTGTAAGATGTGCTTTTATAACAACAGAAAACACCTAATAGGAAAAACTGACATTTTCCTCTGATTAAGTGTTAGCTACCTTCTTTGAATTAGATTAAGGAAATTTTGGTGGCAATGCACACATGCTGTTGTTGTTATGTGCCATTGAGTCGGACCCGTCTCATAACGACCTCTCGCTGTGTTTCCAAGGCAGTATCACTATGGAAATAGATTGCCCAACCTTCCTCCCAAGGCATGGCTAGTGGGTTTGAACTACCAGCCTTCTGGTTAGCCGACAAGTGCCTTAGGCACTACACTACCAGAGCTCCCATACTGTGGTCAAATTCTGGTTCAAAGGCTGATTTATAACTTAATAACTAAGACAATTTAATAGTTATTCAACTTCTCTGGAATTCAATTTATTTATCTATAAAATGTGAATGTTATAAAGATATATTTTATAATGTTATTGGGAGAAATAAAATGTTTTGTAGAGTTAGTAAGTAATCTAAATACATTGACTCATAAATCTTAGGTAAAGCATATACAGCACTTTTTTCCCCTAAGTATCCTATTTTCTTAGGGCTCCTGTAACAAAAATACCCTAAAACATTAGTTTTAACAAATAGAAACTTATTCTCTCACAATTTAGGAGCCAGAATTCCAAATTCAGGGCAGTGGTTCTAGGGAAAAGTTCTCTCTGTCCACTCGGAAAGAAAATCCTTGTCTCAGCTTCTATAACTTTCTTCTGGACATTCCTTGGCCATCCCCATCTTTCTTCCATCTGTGTTTGCTCAGATCTGTGTCTATATTGCTCTTTTTCTCACTCAGAAGTGACTGGATTTAGGACACACTCTAAACTGACATGACCTCATTAACGTATTAAAGAAAGCCCAAGTCCCAAAAGGAATTATATGCACAGATATATCCACAAAAGTGATCAGAAACCCAGCACACATGTTAGGGGGACACAATTCAATCCCTAACATTAAGGGTATATACTTTCTACTTATCTGAAGGAAAAAGCTCTGGAAAGAATGAATGGATGTGCTGATATCAGACCAATTAAGTCCAGCTCTCCACTCAAGTATCCATTTTTGACATTATGCTGCATAGCCTCCTCTCAGAAATGTTTATGATCTAAAATACGTAAATAGATAAATAGAAAGGAAGGGAGGAAGATAAATAGATAGGTCGATAGATGATAGGTAGATAGATATCAGTTTCAGAAACCCTAGTTCAAAGAACAGCATTGCATCAGAGTTGGAGGAACGAAACAATCAATTTCAATTGTCTCATAGAAGAGTCCTGGTTTAAGAATAGAACTAGATTATAGACCTACAGACATACACTCTTAGAATTATCTATGTTAATTTGGGAATATTGCCAAATCCACTCCTTTGCTGTATAAAGAAAAACATTTATCCACCCAAACTCTGTCGTCAGTTCAATTCAATTCCACAAATATTTAATTATTGAAAATCTTCTCTGTGCAAATCATTGGGTTGCTGAGAAAATACAGAGTATGAAGTCCTTGATAAATAAACTAACATAGTATTAGCAACATGCTGGGTGCTAGTCTCAGCACTACTTAAGAATTATTGAATGCTCACAAGACTCCTGTGAGGTAGAGACTTTTATTGTCTGCACTTCACAGAGAGGTTAGATAACTTGTCAAAGGTCAGAGCTGTGTACTTTAGAAGATATATGTTATGTACCAGAGTGTATCTTGCATTAAGATATAAGTATCTTATACTAAGATAAGTGTGAAGTAAATTCATTAAAACACACTGTATTAATCTTGTTTTGAGATAAACATCTTTGGTCATAGGAACTACCTATAATTTTATCAAAATATGGCACTACCTCCTGTTTTGTAAGATACTTGTGTTGTGGAGTTTAAATCACTGCATGATTGTTATCTAAAATGTCACAGAGGTCGTTACAATTTTTCTTATTTGTTTTATCTAATCTACCAAAACTTTTATCTCTTTTTCCTTCCCCTGAAAAATTTCTAATTTTTTTTCTAGGTAGAACTTAGTAAAACTTTCACTTCCTTGCTATTTTTATGAAATAACTAATTGTAGCCATTAATTCTTGGACTGTTAAAATGCTGATAGTTTAAGACAACCTATAGAAATTGGTTTTAAAACATTTTTAAAAATTTAAAAAATAACAATTATATGTTATATCGTGACCAAAACCAAATAAATAAATAAAACCTCACTGTTGTCAAGTCGGTTCCAACTCATAACGACCCCTCCTTGGGTTTCCGAGGCAGTATCACTACGGAAGTAGATTGCCCCATCTTCCTTCCGAGGAGTGGCTGGTGAGTTTGAACCTCCAGCCTTGTGATAAGCAGTCAAATGCCTTAGGCCCTGTGCCACCAGAGAATTATATGTCACATTGTGACACCCACACATATATAATTATACATAATACAACAAAACGTTTTTCCTTGCTATAGGAATATTCTTCTTTAGTATCTATTCTAGTTTATTTTTTCATTTTTCAATTGCCCACCAAATGAACTTCATAAAGCACTAGTAGGATGTAACTCACAGTTTGAAAAAGAGTATTGGAAATATTTTTTTTTCCATAAATTACAGTCTGGAAACCCATTTTGGAAGGTAACTGCTGGTGTAAACAAAGTTGTTGTTATTGTTGTTATGTTTCCAAGGCTGTATCACCATGGAAGTAGATTGCCCAACCTTCCTTCCAAGGAGTGGCACAAATTTGCTAGTTGGCATAAAACCCAGTTAACCAAAGAGATTATTTTTATTCAATAATTATATATCATATTATTCCATATTTATCTTCTTGTTTGTCTTCATAGTCTACATCTTTAAAGCAAACATAGTGTCTTAAGTCACCAAAATAAAGAGATTGTTAGTGAAAAAAAAAACCTGAGACTTGAAACTGGTGGTTTCAAATCTAGTCTGTACCTTTTATTAGCTATATTATCAATGGCATGATTATTGAGTCCTCTGAACCATAGTTATACTTTTTCACCCACACAGACAAGTAGATATTCTGATTAGAAAAGGAAATGAGAAATGCTTGATTCAAAGTAAAGTCACTATAAATGACACCTGTTGTTGTTGTTGTTGTTATGTGCCGTCGAGTCAAACCCGACTCATAGCGACCCCTCCTTGGGTTTCCGAGGCAGTATCACTACGGAAGTAGGATTGCCCAACCTTCCTTCCGAGGAGTGGCTGATGGGTTTGAACCACCAGCCATCTGGTTAGCAGGCAAGTGTCTTAGCCACTATGCTACCAGAGCTCCCATAAATGACACCTATTATTGCCAAATGTTGCCATTTCATCAAGAATCATGCTTTCCTTCCGTTATTGTTTTGCCTTAATTTTTGTATTAGTGCAGAAAAATCATCAGCAAATTCTATCTTCCATATTTGATATGGTGGTTGAATAATTTATAGATGGCAGTGTCTTCTATTAAATATTAAAACACTAATTTATAGTCATTGTTGCTTTGATCAGTTTACAAGTGTTGCAATTTAGCTCAATAAAAAAAAAGTACAATGGCATTGTAATTTTAAAGTAATATATATTTTTGATATTTCTTTATGTCCCTTCCACAAACTTCATTAGAGAAATGTTTCCTTTAATTGTAATATTTGAATGATAAAAATAATTGAGGGTTTCTTTATAATAGCAAGTTAATATTCGACAACTGGTACTTTAAGCTAACCAAATCATTCAATTAATTGTTCTTGCATTAAGACACACATTTAATATTATCTCCATATGTGAAATATATGCTAGTCTCACTTGATCTTGTCCTGAATTTCTGTCAGTGTGATCTTTTTCAGTGATAGGTAGTATAGTACATTAATATTTAATGTGATATATGTGTACTCTAGGGTACACAAATACTTCTCTGGGGTATATAATTGCCTTAGGACCTCTGGTGGTATAGTGCCTAAAGCATTTGACTGTTAAACAGAAGACTGTGGTTCAAACCCACCAGCCACTCCTTAGAAAGAAGACTGGCCAATCTACTTCTATAAAGATACCACCTTGGAAAACCAAGGAGTGGTCCCTATGAGTTGAATCAACTGGACAACAGTGAGTTTGAATTTTTTTAATAGATGACTTAGACCCAATTTTCAGATCTTTCACTTTCTAACAATGTCTTGCCTGAAGACCTGCTTCTGTCTGCTCATTTTCCTTTACCATCTCCCCGTTGACAATTATTATTCATTTAAATTTCATGTGAAATACAAATACTACTTTCCAGCTGGAATATGACTATGATACATTGCTTGACTAAAATAAAATGTGTTGTAGCCAGAGTCGTAAATCCCACATGCATTGCTCCCAAAGAGAAGAGAGTCCTTAAGAACAGAAGAAAAAAAAAAAAAAA